CAGCCCGCAGCCCGCCCCGGGACCCCTGGGCACGGGGCGGGGCGGGGCCGGGGTCGCGGTCGCTCGGCGTGGGCCGCGCGCTCGCGCGGGGCCGTGGCGGGGAGGGAGGAACGGAGACGCGCGGCGGAGGAATGCGTGCGCAACTCGGGGCCGCGCCCCCTCCGCTCCGGGGCCGCGCGCGGGGGGCGGGGGTGGGGGGCGGAGGGACTCCTTTGCCCCGTCAGGAATGTGAGGAAGGAGACTGCGCAGCGCACTGTGGAATGTCGGGGGGCGGCGACGGCCGGGACGAGGGGTGCGCAGACTGCGCGGCGACGCGGGCAGACCAGCGGTGGCCCAGGCTCTGGTCCACCCCGGGGCCTCAGGGCACATTCCAGATCCCCCCCCACCCCAGGCTGAGAGCCCTGAGCCCACATCCTCCCTCCCCATATTCCTCCCAGGCTCTCTGCTAAAGGAGCACAGCCTGATGCTGGCTGCTTCGTGCCACATGGATGTGACACTAACGTGGGAATCCTGCCAGTTTCAAAACAGGAACGCCAGTGTAAGGAAGGATTCGAGCAACTTCCAGGTATAACCGTCCCAATTACACATTCTGGGACTTAGAAAAGAATCACCGCGTGAGTTCCGGGACCCATTGTGAGTGTCTGGCTTCCACCAACATTCTTTGAGGCTAGAGCCCTGGCTCCGAGGTTAGGAGCATTTGTTGCTCTTGCAGAGGACCCAAATTCAGTTCTCAGGTTCACTACTTCCTTAACTCCAGTTCTAAGGGATCTGATCACCTCTGTCACCACTAGGCACGAACATGATGCATATATGCATATACAGACAAAACATATATATATATACAAAAGCCTGTTTATCGCCTGACATCCATAAGCCCCCTAACTTTAACTGGAGAGCTGTTTTTTGTTTGTTTGTTTGTTTGTTTTTCTTTTACGTGAGAGGACTCTCAGAATTATCGTCAATTTAGAACCCAGTATCCACTAAGCCTTCGAAAATCTAGTTGTTTCCTTTTCTCAGGGGTACAGTTACCCTGGTAGAAGGATGCAGGAAGCCTAGCAGTGAGACTCCTATATTGAAACATGCCTCTTTACTCGAGGGGACCTGGCCTTCCCTTGAAGGGCTTCTGGGTCATAACTAGCTCAAGTCTGGAAACTGATTGACAGGCCAGGATTCTCTGGTGTTGCTTTTCTTTCACTTGTTCTAGAGTTTTAGATTGAGCTAAAAGGGCATACAGCACAGTCCTCATTCATGAACACTGGACAGCGCCCGGCAACCTGCAGCCAATGACGATTTGTTGACCTTGCACACTCTCTGGCTATGAAAGGCACTAAAGCCGGGCGGTGGTGGCGCACGCCTTTAATCCCAGCACTTGGGAGGCAGAGGCAGGCAAATTTCTGAGTTCGAGGCCAGCCTGGTCTACAGAGTGAGTTCAGGACAGCCAGGGCTACATGGAGAAACCCTGTCTCGAAAAACCAAAAAAAAAAAAAAAAAAAGGCACTAAAAAGTAGGAGGTTGTTCACTACATGCAATCTTAGCACCCACAAGGTCAGGCCAGGCTCAGGGCTAGTGTGACAATGGTAGGAGTCCCTTTCAAACGCAAGGGCTCCTCTTTCACAGAACCTGACCTTGGATTTAAGGCATGCCTAAAAGGTACCCCTAAGCATCTGGTCAGGTATGTGATATTTGGAGCCAATAGAGGCCGCACAGGTGGGGACCCTGTCCCCAGATCCACAAACAAAAATCTGTCTTACCCTGCAAGAGCTGTCATGGAAAAGAAAACCCAACCATATGTGTTGTGTCCCAGTGATCCAGGAAAACAGTTTTAAATGAAAGCTCCCTCACTTCCAGGCACCCTTTTCTCAGAGGGTGTTGGTAAAATACACAGTACCAGGGAAAGGGAGCTAGTTGGCTGCAGACTGACCCACGCAGACGCACAGAAGCCTGGCCTTCACTGTGCAAACTGCTGGCTGGGACACCTGCTTCCCAGATGGAAGGGAAACGAAGTGTCTGGCCCATCCCCCCCCCCACCTCCTCCCACATGCCTACCTACCTCCTAGGACGTAAGGAATTCCAGCTCTGCCTTACCCACACAGGGTGTGGAAGCAAGTATTTGGGGAGTAAATGTCCAGCCAGGAGAGCCACCTGATGGTCTGTCCACCTGTCTGACGAGAAAGGAGCAGCCATTTGATCAATGGTCACATTTCACTGATCACATTGACCAGCCTTTAAAAGTGAAAATGTTGGGCCCAGTGAAAAGCCGCCAGAAGGTAAAAACCACGACTACCTTACTTAGTTCAATCCTCAGAGCCCACAGTGGAGGGAGAAAACCAGCTCCTGAAAGTTGTCTTCTGACCACTGCCACATGCACACGAAACAAAGCTGGGGAAGGGCTTGTTGATATGCCTGACCACCCGAATTAGATTCCCTGGACCCACGCACCAGGAGTGGACTGCAAAGTTCTTCTCAGACTTCCATATATACACACACTTGTGCAAGCACATCTGTATGTGTACACACACAGGTTACTGAACTACCTTAAAATTATAAGCCGTGATTTCTTTTAAAACATCTGTTCTAGGTTATGATTGTTCGTAGCTGTAATCAGGAGGCTGAAGCAGGAGGATCACTTTTGAAACCAGCCTGGGCGGCATAGCAAGAATAACCCCCCGACCCCCAATAAAAAAGTAAATGTTTCAGTCCAACTTTCCCTTTAGAACCTTCAGAATTCAAATAATACATTAGTGTCCAGGGCCAACTAAAATCTGTTACTCTAGAAGTAAGAAAACCTAAAAGTAAAGCAACCTAAAATGCCCAAACATTATGGGATAGTAGAATAAGGAACTTTTTTTTGTTTGTTTGTTTTTTTGTTTGTTTTTTTTTTAAAGATTTTATTTATTTATTTTATGTATGAGTACACTGCAGCTGTCTTCAGACACACCAGAAGAGGGCATCAGATCCCATTACAGATGGTTGTGAGCCACCATGTGGTTGCTGGGAATTGAACTCAGGACCTCTGGAAGTGCAGTCAGTGCTCTTAACCGCTGAGCCATCTCTCCAGCCCTGTTTGTTTGTTTTGGTTTTTTCAAGACAGGGTTTCTTTATGTAGCCCTGGCTGTCCTGGAACTCACTCTGTAGATCAGGCTGGCCTCGAACTCAAATCCACCTGCCTCTGCCTCCCAAGTGCTGGGATTACAGGCGTGTGTCACCACCATCTGGAGAATAAGGAACTTCTATGGCGTCCATTGTTTACAGATGAGTCTGCATACTTCACATGCTAGCACTGGAGAAACAGAGGCCAGCAGAAAGACCGACGCAAAAGCAACCGATGTTCAAGGCGACCCTGAGCTCTAGAACAAATTCCAAGTCAGTCTGATCAACGTAGAGAGACTCTGTCTCAAAAAGTCATAAAAGGAGCTGGGGGCCAGAGAGATGGTTCAGGGAAAAGGCACTTCCCACCAAGCCTGGTTACTGGAGTTCACTCCATGGGACTCATAAAACAGGAGAACTCCTCCTCTGAAAGTTGTAGTCATATCCTCTGGTCACACCAGATAGATAGATGGATGGATGGATGGATGGATGGATGGATGGATAGATAGATAGATAGATAGATAGTAGATAGATGATAGATAGTTGGATAGATAGATGTGAAAGCCCAGTTGGAACCCTCAGTACCACAAATGAACTAGTGTGTGTATGTGTGACTGTGTGTGTGTGAATATGTGTACACGTTTTTTCCAGAAACCAAATGGGTGACGGTGACTCACACCTTCAGTAATCATTTCATTTTACTGAGTTATAAGCGTTTGTCACATATTTTGAACACCAGCGTACCATGTTTTACAAATACTTTCAACTAGTTTACGTCTTCTCCTTTTTATGTGTCTTCATAAGGATAGGAGTTATTTTGGGGGATTGGAGAGCTGGCTCAGCAGCTAAAAGGACTTGCCGCTGCTCTTGTGAAGGATACAGGCTGGGTTCCCAGTTCCTGTGCTGCAGCTCACAACTGTCTGTAAGTCCAGTTCCAGGAAAATTGACAGCTTCTTGTGGCCTCTGTGGGCCCAGGCAGACACGTGGGGCGCGATCATACAAACAGGCCAGACATCCATACACATAAAACAAAAGGGTGGGGTTTTGTTTGCGTCAGGGCTTCTCTGTGCAGCCTGGCTGTCCTGGAACTCACAGAGATCCACCTGCCTCTGTCTCCCCAGTGCTGGGGACGTGAGCCACAACTCTCAACATTTTTATTTACTTTTTTGATTTATTTATTTCATGAGTACATTGTAGCTCTCTTCAGACACACAGAACAGGGCATCAGATCCCACTACAGATGGTTGTGAGCCACCATGTGGTTGCTGGGAATTGAACTAAGGGCCTCTGGAAGAACAGTCAGTGCTCTTTACTGCTGAGCCATCTCTCCAGGCCAATGCTCAGATGTTTCAAAGTTACTTTTGGTGTGGCTGGCCGTGTTAGTGATGCTTCTGTTGCTGTGATGAAATACATGTAAAGGCAGCCTAAGGAAGAGAAGGCTTATACTGGCTCATGCTTTCGAGGAGCACCGTCCACCGTGGTGGAGAAACCTGGTGCCAGAGTAGGAGGACATGGCCACACTGCAGCTACAATCAAGATGCAGAGAGAGATGATGCCGCTGGTGTTCGGCTCCTTCTCTCGCTTTCTCCTTTTTATCAGTTCAGGGCCCCAGCCCTAGCAACAGTTCTTAAACTGTTACTTTACTAAGCAGTAATTATGTTCAGAATATAACTAAACAGAACTGCGGCCCTACAGTTCAACTTTGTTGATTTTCTTTTTCCCTCCCTCCCTCCCTCCCTCCCTCCCTCCCTCCTCCATCTTCTCTACCCCCTCCCATTTAGACATTTAGATTTTAATGTCTAAAAACAAGGGGTGTCTACATATATATGTATATATACATATATGTGTTGTATATATACGTATATATATATGGTGTATGTATGTATATGTGTATGCTTCTGTGTGTGTATGTGTGTGTATATCCATTTCCCAGCATGCTACATGCTTTAACTCTTTATGGCTGAACAAAACTCCATTGTGTGCAGCACACATCACATTATTTTATCTGTACTTCTGTTGGCAGGCATGTAGGCCAGACGTTGAAATGATTTTTATGTCTAAAAACAAAGGGTTTAACTGAAAGGATTATTATTGGATCTATTGAACATATTTTTATTATAAACACATTCCATCACTAAATAGTCCCTCCCTCTCCCTCTCCCCCTCTTCTTCTCTCCTCCTCCCCCTCTCCCTGCCTCCCACCCTCTCCCTCTCTCCCTCTCCTTCCCTTCCTCTCCCTCTCCCTCCTTCTCTCCTTCCCTTCCCTCCCTCTTTCTTTTCAAACCAGGCTGGCCTCAAGCTCTGTATGTAGCCAACAATGACGAGC